ATCGTGGCCGTGATCGGTTCAAGGTTGAATGATCGACGCAGTGTCCAAAACTTTTGCGCGCGCCGACGCCGCACGGACCTAAAGTCGGACCGAGGTATAAGATCGATGTCAGTTCGGGGAGGGTACCCTAGTGTCCTTTGTGTTTGTTGGATGTTCTGATGCATCCTGGGGAGGGTACCGTTGGATGATTTGTTTTGTTTCAGCCCAGGGAGGGCCTCAGGTTCTTCCAGGATGTTTATAATGGCCTAGATCCGACTGTATATTTTTTGATCCCCAGATCCCAACATATTTTAGGCGTCTTCCTACCTCAATGATCGAGTGGCTCTTCACCTTTTCCGTCCTCTTCAGGGGGCGGGCGGGAACCCAACTTGCTTTCTTAACGCCTTCCTGCTTCATGGCTCTACCCACATCTTACGACCATTGTGTGGCCTGCATCCTCTCTGTTGGTCTTGACTGCACGACGCCGCCAGCCTTGGCTAAGTCCATCCCGGGCCTAACTAACGGTGCACAGCAGGTTCGGCCCACGCTCACGCGGCGGCGACCCCACCGCGGGCGTTCAATTCTGAACGCCGCCATAGGCTGGGACTCGGCCTATATCGAACGATCTGCGCTATCTGACGAGCGAACAACCCACACTCGTACCCATAGGGGGAGTCGCAGGGAGGAGGCCAGGCTGGTTATGTGTATGAGTGCGGGTTGTCGGACCGCTGGGGAGGCTCCCGCGCGAGTGGGGACCCCCATCCGACAACACGCACCCATAGCCTCCTCCCTCCCCGTCGTCCTTCCAAAAGGGCTTTGCCTTCGAGGATAGAAGGAGGTGTCATCTCTTCGGCGGCGGAAGGCGGCGGAAGGTCGACGGAAGCAAAACGAGGCCGCCTTCGCCGGCGGAAGCCAGCGGACGGGCGGCGGAAGGTGGCGGAAGTGAAAAATGCGCCTCCGAAATCCGCCGCATGGGGTATTGGTGTGTGTGTGTGTGTTGTTCGATCGTCGCTGTCGGACGAGCGCCATCGCCCCGCGCGGTGTCGGCAGCCACCGCCCCGCGCCATCACGGCGTGGCCCTGCCGCGCGCACCTTCGTGGCCCGACCAGGCCAGGCGGGGCCTGCGCCGGCCCCCGCCTCCGACGGCGCAGCTGCTTCGCGGCGTGGGACCCCCGGGGATCTCGGCCTCCTTCTCCTCCTCCTCCTCCTCCTCCTCCCTCCTCCTCCCTCCTCCTCCCTCCTCCTCCCTCCTCTTCCTCTTCCTCCTCCTCCTCCTCCTCCTCCTCCTCCTATCCTCCCCTCCCTCCTCCTCCTCCTCCTCCTCCTCCCCTCCTCTTCCCTCCATCCCTCGTCGTCCTCGCTCCTCGTCCACCTCCTCCTTATCCCCTCACTATCCGCCTCTCCCTCTCCTTCTCCTGCTCCTCCTCCTCCTCCTCCTCCCACCACCTCCCTCCTCTTCCTCTTCCTCCTCCTCCTCCTCCTCCTCCTCCTCCCCTCCTACTCCTCCTCCCCTTCTCCTCCTCCTCCATCTCGTTCTCCTCCTCCACTCCCTCTCTCCCTCCTAGAACCCTCCCTTCTCCTCGCTCGTCGTCCTCCTCCTCGTCCGTCCTCCTCCTCCTCTTTCCTCCTCTCTATCCTCACTCCTCCCTCCCTCCCTCCCTCCTCCCTCCTCCCTCCCTCCCTCCCATCCCTCTCCTCCTCCTCCTCCTCCTCCTCCTCCTCCTCCTCCTCCTTCTCCTCCTCCCCCTCCTTCAGTGCACAGGGTCTTCCCACGCAAGCAACTAGAAGAAGAAAGTCATCTCCAAGTTCACTGCTAGGCAGGCCGCTTTCAAGAAGCGCTGCCAGATAATCAAGTCATGTAAGAAGATTATTGGCAGGCATGCTCGTAAAATATTTGTATCAGGCCCCTTGGCTGGTGTGACTTTCGGCATTGAAGTGCACGGCGCCTCCGATTACGAACTTCACTCTTTTCGCCAGGCGACGGGGGCGGCTTTGAAGCCGACTGCGGGGCACCGTTCGCTCTCGTGTCTTCGGCTAGAATATGATCCCACTTGGTTCGCAGCCACGGCGCCGATACTCCGGTACAGCAAAGAGGTCTGGGCCAACCAAGTCAGGCTTTTCAGATACCCCCTCACCTTCCAGGAACTCAGAGAGTCTTGGGAGGCTGCTTTTGCGGAGGGCTCTGAGCCCACCTGGCGGAGAGTTCGTGGCCCCTTGGGGGCCATGAGACTTTCCCTCAAACGCATTGGATGGTCCATGGAACAATGGCACACGCTCAAAAACGATTTCGGTGAGGAGATTTGTTTGACTGTTTTCGGCCCCGGGGTCGTGAAACGACTTCTTCATGATGGGGTCCTTAGGCAGCTTGAGCGAGACATAGGTGGCAAGCAGGGCATGCAGAGGGCCTGCTTGGACGTCGTGGGCTCAGAGTTGCGATCGAAGCGGCACTCCCCGCTCGCTCGTGGCACGATCAAGGCTCTGGCGTGCGACGCTCTTTGGACCAAAGATCGTGCGGTCGCGCTTGGATATAAATTACCCGCTGTGTTGTGCGAGCTCTGCCAGGCATGCGATGGCTCTGCCATCCATAGGCTCTGGAAGTATGACCACTGCGCTGAAGAGCGGGACCACATGGGACCACATCGTCCCTGACAAGGTTTGGTCTTTGTGGGCTGCCGCCGATATGTCCGACCCTAAGCAAAAGCTCTTGTGGTCTCGAGGTATTTTTGAACATCCAGGGGACCATTGGCCCCGTCCCTGTAGCAGCGGGGGCGTGGAGGTCACCTGGCACAACGATGACCAGGCCCCGACCGACATCCAAGGTCATATTTTTCTGTACGGATCGGCTTATAAACATGTATTTCGGGAGCTCTCGAGGGCCGGATGGGGGTTTCAAGCCCAGGACGACTCCGGCAATAGGACTTGCAT